CTCCCTTTCTCCATTAGGAACTATGTCAAAGTTGTAGGGTTTTAATTTTGTGAATATGTTACTTAATTAAGGAGAATGCCAAAATACCTAGTAGATAATAGGTACTCAAATTTGGTATCATTATTATCCAAACATCACTCTTTCCCTTTTATGAAAATACTGTGTTATAAATTCTGAAGTCCACTATCAGTTCTCTCTGATGACCTAAATCATTTATCTTCAGAATTTTTACGGGGGTTTACCAAAGAAAAATAATTCACCTAGGAATAACAGTAATAGATTTTCTTTTCCTCAGAAATTTTTAACCATTTTGATGCAAACATATTGATAAGGAGGCTATCACACTAATACTACTTTTTTCTCACTCTAAACACTTTCCCAAGGGGACAACTATACCTTCAGCCCATAACTTTTCCCTTGCTCTCCAGGCTGGGATATCCAACTGCTTGCTGGGTATCTTCAATTCAAAATACTGTAGGTATTTCAGTGTTTTCCAAACTAAAATCATCTGTCACCCTAACTTATTCTTGCTTTTCTTTTTTTAGAGAGAGAGAAACATTGACGTGAAAGGGACACATTGAGTGGCTGCCACCCACAAAACCCAACCAGGGCCGGGGACAAACTGCAACCGAGGGAACCGAACCGGGGTCTCTCTGGACCGCAGGCCGACGCTCCAACCGCTGAGCCAAACCGGCCAGGGCTATTCTTGCTTTTCTATTTGTGTTCCTTCACCAAGTGAATGAGTCATTCATCCAGTTTTGTAAGTCAGAGGGCTGGGGGCCAACTTGGACACCATCCTTCTTTCTTAACCAACTATTTTATTTTTATTTATTTATTTTCTTTTTTAAAAAAGACACATTTATTCAGCGTCATGATCAGACTATTACATTTAGCAATCAACAGCATGGGTGCAAAAACAAAACTACATTAAAACCCTTTGTTGGAATGCTTTCCACTTTCCACAGAACAGAAACTAAAATAACCTGTTATACAATTAGTCACAAATACAGTTCTTGAGTTTTTCTGCCCATTCACACGAGTATTATCTAAAACATGTCTTCTTTGTAGCAGCTAGGCCCTGCCACCACTGTGCTTGGCTGAGTTCACAAATCTGTTGTAACCTACCAACTATTTTATTTAAAACTATTGAGTATATGCCCTGGCTGGGTAGCTGAGTTGGTTGGAGCATCATCCTGTGCACCAAAAAATTGCAGGTTCAATTCCTGGTCAGGGCACAGACCTAGGTTGTGGATTCAATCCCCGGCTGAAGCACGTATAAGAGGCAACTGATAGATGTTTCTCTATCTCCCTTCCCCTCTCTCTAAACATCAATAAAAACATATCCTCAGGTGAGCATTAAAAACAAACAAAAAAACACAACTATTGATTATCTCTCGTGAATTGTTCTCAATTTTTTCCTTTATGCTATCCTTGCTGTTAAACTTCAGAGCATAAATATGCCTCACTTGGAATGCTACAACAGTTAGCCCTTCAATCTAATCTCTCCTTCTCGTAGATCTTTTCTTTACTGCAAGAGTACTTGCTAGAAGACAGAAAGAACTATGATCATGAATAGCTCTGTGAAGAGGTGGATAACAGGCAAGAATTTTGGTTGGGTGATGTAAAAGTTCCACAGAAATCTGCATTCAAGTATTTCAATCCCCACACACTTATCAGCATGGAATATCTATACAATATAGATCTCCACCAAGAAGACAACATTGCACTATCTACCATTTAATTCTGGGGGGGGGGGGGGGGCAATTAAAAGATAGTAAAAGGCATGCATGATTATTTGAAGGACATGAAATCTATCAAATAGCTATAGATTTTTTTCCTTGCAGGTCAAGCAGCTTAGAGCCAAACTGGCTCAATGAAATCATCTGACTCTTAACTTTTATGGCTTATCTATTTTTGTTGCATTCCCTTTCTTATCTATCTCTCTTATTAAAAAATATATTTTCTTGGTTTCCTCAGTCCTAACTTTGTTTTATTTACAGCTTTATTGATATAATTCATATACCACACAATTCACCCATTTAAAGTCTATAATTTGCAAAGTTGTACAACCATAACAACAATCAATTTTATATTATGGGAAAAAGGAGAAACATTTGTACCAAAAATAAATAAACATTATAAAAATAAATAAAATGTGTATATTTATAGAATTATCAGATTGTACATTCCACATAAACTTTATGATGATCCGCTGAACAAGCCTGGTAAATTATATTTTCATAAAATAAATATTTTTTTAAAATGTGAAAAGAAAAAGTCAATTTCCACTTCTTCCTGAACCTTTCAGTCTTAGGTAACCACTAAATCTGCTTTCTGTCTCTATAGATTTGTCTATTAAATATCTGGCTTCTTGAACTTAGCATAATATTTGCAGGATTCATCCATGTTGTAGCATATATCAGAATTTCTTTTTATTGTTGAATAATATTCCATTATGGATATACCAAATTTTATTTACCCATTCATCAATAGATGGATATTTGGATTGTTTCTACTTTTTGGCTATTATGAATAAAGTTACTGTGAACATTCATTTACAAGTTTTTGGTGAGGATATATGTTTTAATTTCTCTTAGGTATTCTCTAGGAATGGATTGTTGGATCATATGCAACATTTTGAGGAACTGCCAAACTATTTTTCAAAGCCCCTTTACCATTTCAAATTCTCACCACCAACGCCCCAACCACTGAGCCAAACCAGCCAGAGCTGTTCCACCAGCAATGTATGAAAGTCCCAACTTTTCCACATCCAGGATAATTTTTTTTTTAATCTTTACTCGAGGATATTTTTCCATTGATTTTCAGATACAGTGGTGGGGGAGAGGGGGCAAGGGGAGGGGGGAGACGAAGAGGAAAGGAGAGAGAGAAAGAGAGGGAGGGAGGGGAGGGGGAGAGAAAGAGAGAGAGAGAGAGATATCGATGTCACATCAATTGGTTGCCTCCCGCACGATCCTGACCAGGGCCGGGATCGAACCACAACTGAGCTACGTACCCTCGACCAGAATCAGACTCCGGTCCGCAGGCTGAGCCAAATTGGCAGGGCCACCTAAGACTAATGTATTATTATCTGCCTTTCTGGTTATAGCCATCATAGTGGGTATGAGGTATTATCTCACTGAAGTTGTGCATTTCCCTAATGAATAATGATATTGAACATCTTTTCAGTACTTAATGGCCACTGACATATCTTCTATAGAGAAATGTCTGTTCATATCCTTTGCCTACTTTTAAATTGAGTTATTTTTCCTTTTATTGTTGAGTTGTAGTTCTTTTTTTAAAAAATATTTTTTCTTTATTGATTTTAGAGAGAGAAGAGGGAGAGGTAGAGATAGATAGAAAAAGCGATGAGAGAGAACATTGATGGCCACCTCCTGTATGCCCACCACTGGGGATTGGGTCAACAACCTGGGCATGTGCCCTGACCAGGAATCGAACTGGCAACCTCTTGGTGCATGGGTTGATGCTCAAGCACTGAGCCACACTGGCCAGGCTGTAAGAGTTCTTTATATATTTTGGATACAAGTCCCTTATCAGATATATGGTTTGCAAATATTTTCTTCCACTCTGTAGATTGTCTTTTCATTTTCTCTATCACATCTACAGACTTTGTTTTCAAATTTGTATGAATAACTTCAACCTTTTAAGATTAAGGTGTTTAAAAAATTTCATTATATTTTACAGAATTACTTAAAATATTTCAGAGGGTCCCATCACATTCAAGATAAAATAAAAACCCCAACCCTTGAGGCCATTCATGATCCAGACTGCAACCACCTCCTTGAAATGTCTCTCATATGACACCTTACTCTTCAGTCTACATGCCCCAAACCAAATTATTGATCTTTTTCCAGTAATATGTTTCTTTCAGTCTATTTCATCTTAATAAATGGCAACTCCATCCTTCCAGTTGTTCAAGACAAAGCCATGGAGTCAGGTTTGACTGCTTTCATACTCCAACAACAGTCCACCCTGTTGGTTCTGCTTTCAAATCATATCCAAAATCTCACCTCTACTCCTACCACTCCAGTCCATATTCCAGTATCACTTGTGTAGATTAGGGCAAAATTCTCCTAACTATAATCTCTCTAATTCCTTGCCTCGTGGTCTAGTCTCAAAACAGTAGCCATGGTGATTTTTAAAAGATAAGTCGTATGTCACCTTTCTACCAGGGGTGGGGAACCTTTTTTCTGCCAAGGGCCATTTGGATATTTATAACATTGTTCGCAGGTCATACAAAATTATCAACTTAAAAATTAGCCTGCTATATTTGGTTAGGCTAATTTGGTGAGGTGTGTGATGTTAGCTGGTATTGATTTAGTGGGCCTTATATAGCCAGAGGGCCAGACGTTCCCCACCCCAAACCCTTCAGAGGCTTTCCAATTTATTCATATACATCTATAATGCCTTCTATTATCTGGCCTCCTGCTTCTTCTCTTAGTTCCTCTCCTACCTCTTTCCTTCTCCTTCACTCCACTCCAGGAGCCCAGGCCTTCTTGCCTCAGGCCTAGCTCCAACTATTCCCTCTACTCAGAATGCTCTTTTCTCCAGAGTCACACAGTGAGTCTGTCTCCTTCTTTAGGTCTCTTCTCAAATGCTACCTTTTGAATGATGAATTCTCTGACCACACTACTTAAAATAGCAAACCTCCATTCCCAAGGCTCCTTAGCTCCCCATCTTGCTTTATTTTTCTCTGTAGTAGAAGACATTACCATATAGCACAGTATGAATTTACTTGCTTATTTATTGTCCATATCTTCTAACTAGAATGTGGACTCAAGGAAGGCAGGGATTTTGTTTTTAATCAATTTCATTCACTACTATATATCTCCAGCAATTAGAACAGCTCTGGCACATAGTAAGTCCTCAAAAAATACTGAATAAATTAATACTTAAATTTGGGGGCTAACAATCACATCTTCTCTATAATTATTAGAAAACAAAGTTTTGGAAAGCACAAGTTTTAAAATGTTAGTTCTTACATTTTTCTATGGCATTTCTGATAGTCTTCTGAAGAAGTAGCTAGGAAAGGGAAAAAAACCACTCTATTAGAATATAATTCAAACACAGACCAAAGGCTAAAACTACTCTAGATAAAAATAAATATTTCCTCTAAAATACATGGTGATAATGCAGTTTATTTCTTGATTTTTATTGTTTTATATTGCTTTTATGTCTGCCACTTAAACTAATAAAAGTATTTTCAAAATACCAAAATAAAATAAAATTATTGTAAAATTTTATGAGATACAGGACTCCTATCACTTTGTATTTGAATAGTTCTTTATACTTTTTGAGGTCCTTTTACATTTATTATCTTACTTGATTCTTACAACAACCTTATGAGGAAAACTTATCATTTTACTATCCCCATTTTATATACAAAAAAAGACAACTGGTCAAGTTGTAAAACGAATAGCTGTATACCTGGAACTTAAACTTAGGTCTCATGGTTCTTAGTCTAGTATCAACTATACAGATGCATATCAGTAGAGTCATCAGTCAAGAGCATGCCTATCAATTATCATTTTATTGCCTAGATACACTAGCTTATAACTAGGAATATGAAGAGCCATGGAGCAGTCTTATGAGTTATAACCCTCAGCAGCTACAGAACACTGTTTATATTAAATTAGAATATAAAAATCACAGGTGAAAGTGAAGTGAATGGTGCTTCCCAATCATTGCGAATCATTTCCCTTAAAGGGAGGTTTCCAAAACATAAAAGACTGCAGTGAACATGTATTATCCAGCATCTACTCTCTGCTTTTCCTGATAACAGTTTCCTGATTTTTCTCCTGATGGTTAAGACATAGCCTGTGATTCAATGCAGTAAGAGCCCTGCATATCTCCCTGGCCAAAGTGACTGTTCAGGAATAGGCATATGAATTAATTTAAGCCCATGTGTAAGATCCAGAACTTCTGCTCAAATTGTTGGGAAAGAAAAGCACTTAATTCACTGGATGTGAGGCTGTGAGTATATAAACCTGAAGCTATAACGGGTTATATAAAGAGAACTTGGCTGAGAATATAACTGACATAGAGATTTTCTGAGCTGAGAGAAAGGAATTGGGCCCTATGGATATCATTCAAAACCCTGGATGAAGGTGTATCTGCATCTGATTTACTGCTGAATATTTCAGTTACATATGGTAATAAATCCCCTTTTTAACCCAATATAGTTTGAGGTAGTAGTTTTTTTCCCTCCCTCCCTCCCTTCCTTCCTTTCTTTCTTTTTGTCACTTGCAGTGTACAAAGAACCTAACTGAAATACCTGCTAAAAAGGCAGACTGTTTCTTTGAGCACTTTATATAAGCAAAGGTGTTGCCAAACTAAACATAACACATAAGACAAGGCCTTCAAACACTGTTGGAAACACTGCCATCCAGACAGGAAGAAGGAGAAAGAGATTCTTTACTGAGAATATGTTTACTGTATAGCTATGACTCTTTGAACCACAGTAATGTTTCATATACCGTCATATGGTAACCGGTCCCCAAATACCTAAACAAAACAAAATAGGATGGGGGAACCAAAAATTGAATCCAACACTAACAAATGAATCTACCTATAATACAAGTGAGTAACAACTGCACTGAAATCAGGGGAAGGAAAGAAAAGTAATAACCTACACAACTTTGGAAAACAGTATTTTGATTGGATACTGTAATGCTAAACACAAAAGGAACTACAGACAAATGCTTTAATCTATTTAGTGAATGTGTTTCTCACAGGGGTCTGTCTTAATAATTCTAAAACCTTTTTATGTGTATACTAGAATTAAATAAATAATAAAAGCACTGGACTTTAACACATAAAATAAATACCTATAAGCCCATTCTGATATAAATGAATAAATAAGTGCCAGAAAAGAGACAGTTCTTTTACACTAAAATTCCAATTCATTTATGTAGCAGGAGTGAATGAAGTAGAAAATCACCATTAGATGAACACCATAGCAATAACTGTTTTAGTCAATTTCCTCTGATGTCTGGTAATATCAGTGAATAAAAGTTTGGGAGACAGGATTTTCAGAATTTCAAACTATCTTTTTCTAGATATTTATTAACTACAAAGAAAAACTAATAACTTTATAGTGGAGAAAACCAACAGACACCACCTTAATCAAGTGGTGAAGGTTTTTCATGTGATATAAGAAAATGAATGTAAAAACTCACCTAAAATTGAAGAGAGGTTTGAAAACTGCGGTGCCTTCTCTATTGCTACTACTTTACTGCTATCCAGAAAAGTGGAATTCTTGCATTGCATGTATTCTTCCAACTTGGGACATTCCCAATCTAAGAAAGAGAGAAATGCCAGAAAACTTTGAACAATAGGATAAAAGTGGCAGGTTACTTTTCCCCCTTCAGCTTATGTCCCAAGCCCATACCCAGCTCTGATAATTAAAGTTTTGGGTAAAAAAGAGAAAAAAGACAAGACTTGATGGCATCAGGATAGTAAGTAATCTTTGGCCTATTCTTGTGCTCTAAGCAAATTTCTTTGAGACATTTGCTGCATGAAGATTATTAATCTAAGGAACGAAAGCATACATAGGAGCTCCCTGTCATATTTTATGTATGTTATAGCTATGTCTCATTAACTATCTTATCACTAAACAACATTATATCACATATTTAATTAGATGAATATTCAATGCAAACATTAGGATGGTAACTTGTCATAAAAACGCCATTTACTCCTGTGGTATATCATGACCATCTTTTGTTTTTCCTGGGGTGAATAAAAGTTTTTTTATTTCATTTATTAATTTATTTTTATTAATTAATTTTTGTTACAGATATTTCTCCTCCCCCCCCCCCCCAGATACCCTCCTCCCTAACCCACCACCTCCACCCCCAAGCACTGTTGTCTATGTCCACTGGTTATGTATACATGCATATAAGTTCTCTGGTCTATCTCATCCCTCACCCCTACCCCCCTCCTCTGAAGTTTGTCAGTCTGAACTGTATTCCTTTCTATGTCTCTGGGTCTATTTTGTTCATCAGCTTTTTCTGTTAATTATATGCCACAAATATTTGTCTTTCTCTGATTGCCTTATTTCACTTAGCATAATATTCTCCAGGTCCTTCCATATTGTCTCAAAGGGTAAAAGATCTTTCTTTCTTATAGCTGCATAGTATTCCATTGTGTATATGTACCATGGCTTTTTAATCCACTCATCTATTGATGGAGACTTGGGCTGTTTCCAGATCTTAGCAACTGTAATAGTACTGCTATGAACATAAGGGTACATATATTCTTTCTCATTGGTGTTTCAGGCTTCATATTCCTAGAAGTGGGATCAGTGGGTCAAATGGTAAATTAATTTTTAATTTTTTAAAAAAACACCATAGTCCCATGCGTTCACTTCCTCGTTTGTTTCTGTTGCCTTAGGTGATGTATCAGTAAAAATTCTGCTGCGTATAATATCTGAAATTTTGTTGCCTACATTTTCTTCGAGAATTTTTATGGATTCATGAGTTACATTTAAGTCTTTTATCCATTTTGAGTTTATTCTTGTGTATAGGGTAAGTTGATGGTCTGGTTTCATTTTGTTTTTTGCATGTAGCTGTCCAATTTTCCCAACACCATTTATTAAAGAGACTGTCTTTACTCCACTGTATGCTCTTGCCACGTTTGTCAAATATTAATTGAACATATTGCCTTGGGTCCATTTCTGGGTTCTCTGTTCTGTTCCACTGGTCTATATGTCTGTTCTTGTGCCAGTACCAGGCTGTTTTGATTACAGTGGCTTTGTAGTATAACCTGAAATCTGGTAATGTGATCCCTCCAACTTTTCAAAAGCTTCTGCACAGCAACAGATATAATCATCAAAATGGAAAGGCAACCCACTGTATGGGAGAGCATAATTGCCAATGATATATCAGATAAGGCATTAATTTCCAATATATAGAGAGTGCTCATACAACTCAACAAAAGGAAGACAAAGAACCCAGTTAAAAAATGGGCAGAAGAACTAAATAGATACCTCTCCAAACAGGACATACAAATGGCCAAGAGACATATGAAGAAATGCTCAACATCACTAATCACCAGAGAGATGCAAATTAAAACAACAATGAGGTATCACCTCACACCTGTCAGAATGGCCGCCATCAACAAATCATCAAACAACAAGTGTTGGCGAGGGTGTGGAGAAAAGGGGACTCTAGTACACTGCTGGTGGGAATGCAGACTGGTGCAGCCACTATGGAAAACAATATGGTGTTACCTCAAAAAATTAAAAATTGAACTTCCATTTGACCCAGTGATCCCACTTCTAGGAATATACCCTAACAAGCCTGAAACACCAATCAGAAAAAATATATGTACCCCCATGTTCGTAGCAGCACTATTTACAATAGCTAAGATCTGGAAACGGCACAAATGTCCATCAGTAGACGAATGGATAAAAAAGCAGTGGTAGCCCTGGCCGGTTTGGCTCAGTGGTTAGAGCATCGGCCTGCGGTCCGGAGAGACCCGGGTTCGGTTCCCGCTAAGGGCATGTACCTCGGTTGCAGTTTGTCCCCGGCCCTGGTTGGTCGTGCGGTGGCAGCCACTCGATGTGTCCCTTTCACATCGATGTTTCTCTCTCTCTGTCTCTTCCTCTCTCTCCCTCCCACTCTATCTGTACAAAAAATCGAAGAATGTCCTCGGGTGAGGGAAAAAAAAAAAAAAAAAAAAAGCAGTGGTACATATACACAATGGAGTACTATGCACCTGTAAGAAAGAAAGATGTCTTATCCTTTGAGACGACATGGAGGGACCTGGAAAGTATTATCCTAAGCGAAACAAGCCAAGCAGAGAAAGACAAATATCACTTATTTGTGGAATATAATGAACATAACAGTCTGAGGAACAGGGTAGTCCCAGAGATGTGGAAGTGGGGTACAGACTGATAATCCCCTGAAGAGGGGGTGGAGGGGGAAGAGATAAACTACAGAACTTATATGCATGTATGTATGAACAATGGACATGGACAACAAAGATGGGGACAGGGTGGGGAGGGAGGAGGAGGGAGGAATCAGTGGTGGAAAAAGGAGAAACATTTGTAACAAAAATAAATTAATTAATAAAAAATAAAATAAAATATCAAAAAATTAAAATAAAAAACACCATAGTGTTTTCTATACTGGGTGCACCAGTCTGCATTCCCAAGAGCAGTGTACTAGAGTCCCCTTTTCTTCACACCCTCGCCAACACTTGTTGTTTGATGATTTGTTGATGGCGGCCATTCTCTCAGGTGTGAGGTGATACCTCATTGTTGTTTTAATTTGCATCTCTCTGATAATTAGTGATGCTGAGCATTTCTTCATATGTCTCTTGGCCATTTGTATGTCTTTTCTGGAGAGGTGTCTATTTAGATCCTCTGTCCATTTTTAAATTGGATTCTTTGTCTTCCTTTTGTTGAGTTGTATGAGTACTCTATGTATTTTGGAGATTAACCCCTTATCTGATATATTATTGGCAATTATGCTCTCCCATATAGTGGGCTCCCTTTCCATTTTGATGATTGGTTTTTTTTTGCTGTGCAGAAGCTTTTGAGTTTGATGTAGTACCATTTATAATTTTTTCCTCTGTTTCTCTTGCCTTGGGAGTTGTATCAGTGAAAATTCTGCTGCGTGAGATGTCTGAAATTTTGTTGCCTACATTTTCTTCTAGCATTTTTATAGATTCATGAGTCACATTTAAGTCTTTTATCCATTTTGAGTGTATTCTTGTGTATGGTGTAAGTTGGTGGTTTAGCTTCATTTTTTTTTGCATGTAGCTGTCCAATTTCCCCAACACCATTTACTAAAGAGGCTGTCGTTACTCCATTGTATGCTCTTGTCACCTTTGTCAAATATTAATTGAGCATAATGTCTTGGGTCAATTTCTGGGTTCTTTGTTCTATTCCATTGATCTATATGCCTGTTCTTGTGCCAGTACCAGGTGTTTTGATTACAAAGGCTTTGTAGTATTACCTCATATCCAGTATTGTGATCCCTCCTACTTTGTTCTTTTTCAAGATCGCTGTGGCTATTTGAGGTCTTTTTTGGTTCCATATAAACTTTTAGAGTATTTGATCTATTTCCATGAAATATGTCATTGGTATTTTGATGGGGATTACATTGAATCTATAGATTTTTTTTTGGGTAGTATGGACATTTTAATGATGTTAATTCTTCCAATCCATGAACAAGGTATGTGCTTCCACTTTCTTATATCTTCCTCTATTTCTTTTATCAATGTCTTGTAGTTTTCTGAAAATAGGTCTTTTACTTCTTAGGTTAAGTTTATTCCTAGATACCTTAGTTTTTTCCTGCAATAGTAAATGGGATTGTTTTATTAGTTTCTCTTTCTGTGAGTACATTATTAGTGTATAAGAATGCCGTCGATTTCTTGAGCTTAATTTTGTATCCTGTTACTTTGCCATATTCATTTATTAGCTCTAATAGATATTTAATGGAGTCTGTAGTGTTTTCTGTGTACTGTATCATGTCATCTGCAAATAATGACAGCTTCACTTCGTCCTTTCCAATTTGGATCCCGTTTATTTTTTCCTCATGTCTAATTGCTGTGGCTAAGACTTCCAGAACTATGTTAAATAAGAGTGGTGAAAATGGGCATCCCTGTCTTGTTCCTATTTTTAAAAGAAATACTTGTAATTTTCGCCCATTGAGTATATTGTTGGTTTTTCATATATGGCTTTTATTATGTCAAGATATGATCTTTCTATTCCCACATTGCTGAGTGTTTTTAAAGAAGTAGGTGCTGGATTCTGTTGAATGTTTTTTCAGCATCTATTGATAAGATCATATGGTTTTTATCTTTCATTCTGTTTATGTGGTATATCACATTTTTTGATTTGCGAATATTGTACCATCTGGGATGAATTGCACTTGGTCATGATGAATAATTTTTATGATATATTGCTGGGTCCAGTTTGCTAATATTTTGTTAAGGATTTTGGCATCTGTTCATTAGGGATATTGGCCTGTAATTTTCTTTCTTTGTAGTGTCTTTATCTGGTTTTGGAATCAGAATTATGCTAACCTCATGAAATAAGTTTGGAATTCTTCTTTCTTCTTACATTTTTTGGAATAGTTTGAGGAGAATGGGTGTTCTTCTTTGAACGTTTAGTAAAACCCCCGTGAGGCTGTCTGGGCCTGGGTTTTTGTTTGCTGGAAGTTTCTTGATTATATCTTCAATTTCTTTAGTTGTTATCTGTCTGTTCAAGTTCTCTACCTCTTCCAGGTAAGAGTTTTGGGAGACGGTGTGTTTCCAGAAATTTTTTCATTTTACCTCGGTTGTCCAA